GCTCTACCCACTGGCCCACACTGCCTCCCTCTCTCAGCTCTACCCACTGGCCCACACTGCCTCCCTCTCTCAGCTCTACCCACTGGCCCATGCTGCCTCTCTCGGCTCTAATCATTCCCTCTCTTCACTGGAAATTATTTTACTGAGTTAAGAACATTCTAAATTTCAAAGAAAATTTATTTGATCCACAGAAACAGACATACATATTGAAGGAACACATAACCAAGCTCCTCACGGCTGCAGCCACAGCAGCCAGGCTGTGCAGATCCAGTGCTCCCCGCTGGGTCAGCAGCGCCGAGTGTCAGCGAGAGTGGGGCTCCGCCGCAGCTCGGACAGCTGCAGGGCCCAGCGCTGCTCCCCACAACTGTGCTTCTCACAACAGAGCAATGTGTGCTTTCCAGTGAAGAGGTGCATTTAATCAATGATGCTTTGTTGTTTAGCGTTACCTTTACTGTAAATAACAAGCGAACGGTTGGAACGAGCAGTTTCTGGCAAGACAGCAGATGCTGAAGACCACAGCCAGCCTCACATGCGTTAATGAGTGCAGCGGTCAGGGTGAAACACACTCAAGCTGCAGAACAGGCAGGACTGCATCTATTCTGCCACTTAGCTACCTCGCCCGGACACTAACCACTCTCCTCCTGGAAGAGCAGAACTTGAATTCCGCACAATACGCTCAGTATGGAGTAAGAGTGGGACACAGACAGAAATAAGTACTGACACCTCTACAATGCTAGCTTAAAACTAAGTATTTTTCCCCAAATATTGGAAACCAATAAATGATCTCACAGGAGCAGTGCTGTTGAGCATGCTGCAGGGTGTGTATGGAACGGGGCTTTCGTGCCACAGCCCGGAGGAACCAGGGGGAAGAGAGCAGAGACCGGGAATAAGCACAGGGAACAGGGGGCCGACTGAATACAGCCTGGGTTGCTAATCAGCTCAGAGAGGGCGTGACGGATCAGAAGGCGAGAATCAGTAGCGTGCCTCAGACCAGGTTGGCGATGACGGCTCTGGTGAACTCATCACAGGAAGCATAGCCTCCCAGGTCTCCTGTCCTCACCTGACAAGAACACAGGCACACTGTTAGACATGAAAGAGCACACTAACAAATCTGTATTAAACTGTTGCGAACTTATGCTGGAAGTGGCTCCAATTCACACGGGCCGCAGTCACAGACTCGCACGCAGTCTGATAGCTTTGATTTTTATTTCCTTTAAATGAAGTTCAGTCTCGACTGTAACACCGCCCAGAGAGCCAAGGGACACCAACTGCTCAGCACACACTGACAGGACACCTCAGTGTAGTCCTGTCACGTCCAGCCCCAGGAGTGTCAGCCTGCCTCCTAGAGCTCCCGGGCTGCAGGGAGGGGCAGGAGCCCAGCCTGCCCTGAGTGCACAGCTGTCGGCCTGAGACACCGCACAGACAGGGGCTGCGGGAGGCTGGGTACGAGCTGAGCGAGGGGCCACAGGTGTGAGGGACCCAGGTAAGTGTCTCCCAGGTGATCCAGAGGTGGCTGGAGTTCATAAGACCATCCAAAAAGGTACAAGATGAAGGTGGCACTAACAGCACACATATATTTCTTATTTACAAGAGGAAGCCCTGCAGTGACAGAAACAGCCCGGGGGCAATCTGGGCTGGGGCAGTTAGACGTGCAGGACAGGAGGAGGGCAGCAAGCAGTGTCCCAGGGGAGTGTGGGTATTGGGGTTTCTTGGGAAGGGGGTCCCAGTCGGTCCTCAGCGCAGATGTGTGGGGTGAAGGTTGTCGATGACGGCGCGCACAAAATCACTGGTGGTAGAGTACCCCCCCAGATCTCTCGTTTTCACCTGGGACACAGAGGGACAGGGAGATGGAGAGGGAAGGAGGGAGCTTTTTCAGCCATGGCAATGGATAAATACATATATGGACAACAGTGGACATCCTGTTAATCATTCTCAAATACAGCGAGCACAGTGCTGGAATAGTGTCCCACACTGACCCAGCGTCTCTCACACAGTCAGTGTGGATACTGGGGCCTGTGGGGTCAAAAGAAGACACCGACATCCAAGGTCACAGAACTTGCCAGTGGCCAGGCAGAGGAACAGAGCCTGTAACAGCTTACTGTTAACCACATGCCCGAAGGAGCACAGTGCCAGACTAGGGGGCTCCATCTCCTGCAGCAGCAGGCACGCACACTGGCCAGAGCGCAGGACTGGGGCAGCAGACACAGGACACAGAGAAAGGGACATTACCTTGCCCAGCTTGATCACCCTCTTCACCGCCTCAGTCACCATGTGGGAGTGGTACTCCAGGCTGCAACAACATCAGCACAGTCAGGCCACAGAGCACTGAGGCTACACCTCCGCCACCGGCAGTTCAACAGCCATACTTACAGGACAGACTGTCACTGTGCAGATTGCTGTATGTGCAACAGGGCCTGCCTGCACTCCTGCAGGACAGGGCCTGCTCTCACAGCATGGAAAACTGCTCTCCACCCACTAAACACACCAACCACTCTCTCCTCCGGGACACTAAACAGAGGCAGAGTAGGGATTATCTACACGGCTGTACTCCAGATGCTAGATACCCAGCACACGTTTTACCACAACAACCAATGGCCACTTAAGTTAACAGCAGAATAGATAGATATTTTATTAACGCCTTAACAAAATCATACAATAATACAATACAGTAAGTGAGAAGTGCAGCAAAAAATAATGGACAAGGAGTTAAAATTCCCATTCTCAGAACTCGGCGCAGTTTGGAGGCAGCCCGAGAACAGAGCCACGGTTCCAAATCATGAAGTACTGACAAGGGCACGGAGCCTCTAACGGGGCTTAGGGAATTAGAGACGTGCTCCCTAATTAGGGCCAGCAATGTGGAGGACAAGTTAGAGTGCTGGATTTGTAACTGGGCGGTTGTGGGTTCTATTACCAGGAGGTGTCACCCGAGAGCAGAATATTTCACTTGGACTTCCACAGCAAAATGCTCTGCTGCATAAACAGGTACAAATGGAAATGGCTTTTGACAGATTTATCAGCCTAGCCAGGTATCTGTACTCCAATCTCTTAGATATACAGATTTTAATATACAGATTCTAATATAGTGTACCATGATGTCAGTTTGTGCTTGGGGGTACAGTCTGTGATGCCAGTGTGTGTCTGGGGGGTACAGTCTGGGCTGAGACACTCACTTGAGGTGGCGCAGCATGTTGGCAGCACTGAGCAACATGGCCGTGGGGTTGGCGATGTTCCTGCCCACAGCCTGGGCAAAGGGGTGCCGCGCACCCTGAAACAGAGAAAGAGGGTGTTGGGATGGACACTGATGAAAAGAGTCCTACCCCAGACACACACACACTGTCTCCCACAGCCTACCCCAGACACGCACACGCATTCTCATACAGCCCAACAGTCCTACCTCAGACACACACACAGTCCCACAACCCGACAGTCCTACCTCTGATCCAGGATGATCTCGGACTGTCACACTCTCACACTCTCACACTCACACTCACTCACACTCACACTCACACTCACACTCACACTCACACTCACACTCACACTCACACTCACACTCACACTCTCTCTCCAACAGACTTGGAGTCAGAGACACTCTAACGGAGACTAAGTGGAGGTCAGTGGGCTTAGAGCCTGCCGATGACTCACGGTCTCGAAGACGGCGTACTCCGCGCTGTAGCTCTCTCCTGGTACCACGCCGGCTCCCCCCACCAGCCCGGCTGCCAGGTTGTCGATGATGTTTCCATACAGGTTGGGCATCACAAGCACATCAAACTGGTACGGGTTCTGCACCAGCTGGGGAAGCAGCACACAGAGTTGCATTAACATAAGGCTCTGGCCATAGTGCCGCATTGGCACTGCTGACACCTTGCCCTGCCCACTGCATGAGACTGACACCCCACCCCTCCCATCACGAGGGGCAGACACACTGACAGTCCCGCCCACTACTTGAGATTGACACCCCACCCCTCCC